GGTGATAAGTTACAACATGAAATTCAAAACTCCAATTTTGATTGAAATCCAGGTCCTATGGGGAAAATTCGAGTAAAAATTCGATATCTCAGCAACAAAGCTGATTGCGCACGAACCAAGTTGGGATTCTTCATAGTTCATGTGGATCTAAATTTTAAAAATAGTCCCACTCAAAAAGGTTTTTAGCACCTCAGGAGGTTCCCTCATCAGTATTATAATTATAACTTTTTTTCCTTTGACCGCTTTGAGCTAATTTTTCTTTTAAAATATTCATCATTCAATTCTCTACAAAAACTTTATTGAACATTTATTCATACACCATATAGATCAAAGAAAACGGATTAAATACTGCGAAGCTTCAGTTTTCATTATTTTCTAGCCTAAAGAATAGTTTTTGAATTTTAGTCCTTTATAACTTGCCATATAAGATAAGAGAAAATGTCCATTTTTAAGTGCTTAAAAAGCTGTATTAAGTGACCATATTAAAAATATTTCATCGTTACGACTGATTGTGGGATACTGTCTTTTGTTTTATCGACTTTACCAAAAATCATCGGTCTTGAACCCTAGTTTTGGAGCACATGAGAAAACTTTATAAATTGGTTAAAATCGAACATTTCGAAGCCGGGTTTGTTTCATTGTAAAGCAAAATAATTGTTCTACTGCATCCGAACAGAAAAAGTTCTATGACTGCATTCATTTTTCTGTGCCATGATGAGCTACTCAAAAATTCCGTCTTTTCTGGTGATTTTACTAAATCACCATCTGTGCCAGAAAAACGCGTCTTAAAGCCAACCTATGATAGATAACAAGAAAGACGGCATTTCGGAGTACCTAAGCATACATTTTGATTTTACCTTTTATGCATAATACTGTCTTTAAAATAAATGTTTTTACGTTGGGTTTTGAGTTAGAAAATAATGAAAACTGAAGCTCCGCAGTATTTTATCCGTTTTCTTTGATTTATATGGTGTATAAAAAATGTTCAATAAAGCTTTTGTAGAGAATTGAATGATGAATATTTTAAAAGAAAAATTAGCTCAAAGCGGTCAAAGGAAAAAAGAGTTATAATTATAATACTGAGACCGCCATTTATTCTGGGCCACCCGATAATTGGTGTTGGTTCTTAATGGCAGCTCTGTTGTTTATTCTTCTATCCTAACGATTACGCAAGTGATACTACTATATAGAACGTTGATTGTACACATATACACAGTGGCATGAAAAATTGACCGTGCAGCACGCTGTTTTGTTTCGCGTGCCATTTTTTATGTAGATGTCACATCGGATCGCTGTTTGCACTAACGTGTCCGCCATGGTCTCTTGTCTCTATGAATCAGTTTTAATAGCAAAACTTCGTTTTGTTAACTTTATATTAAAAAAATAAGTGAATGCACCGGATTTTTATAGCCGAAAAATTATTCGTAAATACGGATCGAAAATGGTCCATATTTAACCATATTATCTGACGCAGAAATACAGTTCGTAATTTATCCGTATCGTAAACAGACTGTATATTGACCGTATACGATGGGTTACGGTATCCATAAACGGATCGTGTTTGCAACGTTTTCGCAACGTAAATTATCCGAAATACGCCGTGAATTAGTGGTTCACAGACTGGCCCTATTGGTCTAGGCCTAGAATAAAAAGATAAACTTAAAACTAGAAATGTATTTTTGTGGGAGGAAGACTAAAAATAGAGTAGCCTCTGCCATCTATGATACTTACCAGTTAACGAAGAAATAACGCACAAATACTATTTAAAAAAACCATATATTTTTTTCGTTACCTCAGTAATCGACGCAATATTAACAACGATGAAGCTTGGCAATCGGACATTTTTAAGAATCGCGCTTTGTTGCGTCGTATAGAGCTCAACGAAAGCTATTGATCGATATATAAAACGGCTCAAAAACGTTGCTAGAAGCTTGACATTAATAAAAAAAAGAATTTTGAGTAACATGCAAACTAAACAAAATTCACAGAACCATTCTACCATCGATTGCTTGATGGTATTAGATGAAATATTGTGATTTTTCTTTATCTCATATTTATCTTTCATTTGTAGATTTATGTCTAAACAATTGTCTACCGGTTCATATATAATTCTAATTCTCGTCAATACGTTCATAACATTAATGGCTACTTTTTCCATGGGAATATTTCATGCACATTTGAAACAAGTCGACAAGGTCATGCTGCGTTTGGATTCGTTTAAACAGAGTCGATCGAAAATAATCGAATATATCAGGTCAAATTGTTCACAACTGATCGTCGAGTATCAAGAATTTTATATTTTTCCACAAGTCGAACTATGTGAAAATTATGATTTATCATTGAAATTAGGGAAAATGGTGGTGCTTTTATCAACCTCATACGATACCTGTTTACTTTATGCATTGTATAATCCACCTCTATTACCAGTTATTATAATGGAAATAACGTCCACTTTCTTATTCTATACCAACTTCACAAAAAACGATGGATGAACTCTTCGACTGTTAGAATCAATCTTAATTTTGTCGGTTTTATTATGATTATTGGTCAATATTTATTGCCAAATTTCGATGAACATTTGAAGAAGCAATGGTTAAAACTTAACAATTGATTATCAAAAAATAAGAATGGCCATATTTATGATAATATTCGTAACGAGGAAGATAAACATCAAGATTAATGGTGCTCCATGGAAGTGACGTATTAACCAGAAGCACTATCATTATATGTTTTCATACGTAAATATGGAATATATGATTTAACATAATGTTGACAATTATTGTACCCTAATGAACTGATTGACATGATAGACTTTTGTTGTCAATGTCATGTTTTTTTTGTATGTACAACAAAGTAATAAACACTACCGTTAATCGAATGAAATTCTTATTCATAAAATACTAATATTATTTGTACACGTTTACTATTTTTTGTATAAATTAATATAATAAATTTTATCTAATAAATTTAGTGAAAAAATATTATGCGATCAACCTTTTTCGCAAAATGTTAGCATCTTACGATATCAGTCTAATTGAGAACTATACAACCTGAAGGTGCTTGATCGTCCCTTTCCCATACACACACTAAACGGGTATAGCTTTCTTTAGGGATAATCAAAACGACCAATCGACAGCATCCTCTAGAAACATGGTCATAAGCATTAGGAGAGGCCTCTTAGTAATAACCTTGTACATTGTTCGACGAATGTATGCCTAATGCTAGACTTAATCGTTTAATGGAGAAGAACTGACAAGCAGCAAGCTATTGTCTACCACTAATGATCATACTTCTAGGACACAAAACTCGGATGCAAAATAAACAATACATTTTGTAGTAAACTTGTCGGTATGACGAAAGCTACGACTCATTTTTCATCCAATGATTCATTCTTAAATCTCTCTTTCTCTGCTTTGCCATATTTAGTAAAAAAACGAAAAAAGTCAATAAACAGCGATTCACGTCATTATTTTTTTAAATGTCTTTCCAACTACACACTTTCAATACATGTTCTCCATAGACGTCATATATAATCTCACTCATTTTTAAATAAAATTAGGACAATAAACAAAACGAATGTTCATGCGATTATAATGTTAGTATTAAAAAACAAGAGAAAGAAAATAAATACGTTACTTATACCGTTTCTATTTATGTATGAAAAACAATCGGTGGCCTTCAAATATCAACGTTCTTTTTTTCTCCCCAGGTCAACGAAAAGTAGAGGTGGAGCGGTGAAGAAAATAGATTTAAGTAAGACATATAGCACTGCGACAAAATGCATGTTCAAGTTTTCACTTAAAACACTGCTCGAGCTTTCGACCTTTATTCACGGGTCATCATCAGGAGTAAATGACAAAAAGAAAAGAAAAATCGTACATATCAAGAAAAATGTTTTTTGTTGTGATCAATAATAATTTTTATGATAAAACAAAAAACCAAATATTCTGTTAGAACAACATTAACATCGTCACCGGTTACACCGAAAACGTCGAAAGGCGCATTTGTTTTAGGTAAGGAGGATGGAAAGGTTTGTTTTATTCTGGACGAGTCGGCAACAATCGCTCTCTTCGCTTACTTAGTCTGGAGTTTTTTATCGTTGGTCTTTCGACACTTTACTCTAAACTGCGAACACCGAGCGATTTGTAGAAGTACATTTTAAACGTTTACATTTTCTTTTCTTAAGCCGTAGAGAACGTCATGCGTCCGTATCTAAATTATTCGAAGATTCAATTCAAGCACAAAAGCAGTTGATGGTGAAAGTTGAAGAACAAATAATTTTGTCGAAACAACTGACAAATATTCCTGCTGAAGTCAAAAAGTCGATTCAGCAAAGTGCTGCTTATTTAGAAGCTGTGAGTATCGAAAATGACGTTGCTCTTTTGATTCTTTTTTTTGTTGCTATTAAAGGCTTCAAAAATATTAGCACCACGTATTACTCAAGATGATGAAGCAACAGAATTCGTAGGTCTTACCACTCGCTCTTCTCGCTTCACTGCTTGTACTCCGTTTTTTGCTATTACTTTGATTTATCTTAATCTAACGAACACCTAATTTCTTTTATGCACTATGATTTTTCTATTTTGTTTATTTATTTATTTATTTAATTTAAGTCGTGAAATATCAGATAAGTTTATTTTTTGCTAATCAACTTTTTAGTTATTCGTTCTTTGGTGCTTTGTGGTTTCTCTTGTGTTTTTTAGGTCATAAACATAGGCGGCGGAGCCATTAGGCCTGGGTAGGCACAAGCCTACCCTAGATTGAAGTTGGGTAGGCTTAGGTAGGCTCAAATTTTGAAAGTTTAAGGCTTGGGTAGGCTCGAACTTTAATAATCTAAGGCTTTTTTATTATGAATTTAAGATGAAACTTTCCAGTGATCGTGTTGCTTTTCACGGTTTTTTAATAGATGACGCATTATGACGAGGATCAATCCATGTTTTCTCGAGTATTAACTTGTGTCAAATCAGGTATTTAGTGGACCTACTGGACCCTCACCCTGAGCTTGAGCCTACCCTAGGCTGAAAACGTTCCGCCGCCTATGGTCATAAACGATGTTGATTTTCGTCATCTGACGGCAGCAAATGATATTACAACAACAGCACGAAATATTCTACGTTGTTGTTATGGTCCGGAAGCTTCAGCTGAAAGTTTACACATGAACGATTTGGAAGTAATAATTAGGGAGCTCTTGTGTGTGTTATACTTTTTTCCATCATCCTTAGAGCATAATGTGTCTCTTTTATCGTTTGTGTTATGTCTTGAAGGCGCAGTCGCTTTTTTTCATGGACGGCGATATGAAGATGTTGGCCGTGAAAGGAAACGTATACTGACATCATTACAGCAAATGAAACATGATTATCGTAAAGCGGCAGCAAGTAAACGTGGCGACAGTCAACCGCGTAAGCGCCGAAAAATGGAAGCTGGAGAGGAGGGAGGAAATGCTCAAGGTCAGTCACAACAGTCACAAGTTTTGTTTCGTGACAGTCAGATAGCAGTTCAAAATGGAAAGGAAGTTTGATGAGTTGAAATTTTTTAAAATTGTAGTCAACGCCAAGGCCTTTTTTTTCACTTCTCTTTTATCTGATGGCCTACGTAGTTTCCGAACAACTCCTGTTTCATTGCATTGTAGAGTTGTTTGAGTAGCTTGTGATTTTGCCTGCTTATAGAATTTTATATTTTTGTACATTTCATGATTGATATTTCGTTTTTAACGAAATAAACTTTAATAAATAGTTTGTGCTAGAGTGGGATTCTTGCCTGCACAAGCAAGATCTGTAGAAACGGGAGTAGAGCTCCTACAATGAAAGTCGTTTGTCTGAACTGGCAAGCATGCTTCTTGTCTGAAGCAGCAAGTAAGTCTTGTATGAAATTATTTTCTTGTCTTTACAGACAAGAAAACGCTACGAGAGACTTGTCTGTCGATACAAGACAGTGATCGCAGGCAAGATGCTTGTAACACAAAATAATCAGCTCAAGAACTTGTCTGCAGAAGCAAGGAACAAGATTCTTGTCTGTGGAGACGCAAGTCTCTCGACTAGTGTATCCCCTTCTATTGACCAAGCAATATCTGAACAGATATATATGTTGTCATATAAAACAGAAATTCCCTTGACTTTAGTCTAGGGTCTTACGAAATAGTTGTCTGTGCGTCTGTGCGCAAAATACGGAAAAATCGGTGTTAGATATTCTATGGATAAGCGAATCACAAGAGACAAAAGTAGAAAATTATTTTTTACATAAGAGAGAAAATATTCAAACAGATCATGTGAAATATCTACTGATGCAGAGAGGTAAACAGCTAAGCAAACGTTTTCTGTATAGGTCGGGGGTAGATGTCGCCAGATAGCAGTCAACTGTGACAATACAAAAAAAGTGGTATAGGGTTAATAAAATTGACAGCGTATAGATAATCTATGATAACAAATCGATCAGAAATACTTCCAACCTCCTTGGGATCTGCAGAGGGTGTGCAAAAAACCTTTTAGCTTTATATTACATTGGATGGTTTTCCGGTGGAATCAGAGAAGTTCATAGCATTTCTCATCTATACTGGTTGCGGATGCCGACAAAACGGAAGCATGAGGATTGTTTCGAATTCAGAAATAGTTTTATATCTCTTGAGATTTTTGCTCTTTATATTCATATTAGATTCCGAACCTTACACATGAAAACAGAAAAAGTCCAGAAGATGTGTTAGGCATGTCTCCAGCGAGCGCCGACCGAAGGGAGGTGTGAGCATTGTTTTGAATCATAAATATGTTTAGACCTCTACAGATTTTTGATTTATATATTTATATCAGATTACGAACCTTATACATAAAAAAAGAAATGCAATCCAGAAGATGTCTTAGTTAGGGCTCCAGCGAGCGCCGATCGAAGGAAGGCGAGAGCATTGTGTTCGATTTATAAGTCACCAAAGGGCGTTCGCTTGCGCAGATCCAACTTAATAAAGTCGAGGGACCGAACGAGTGGAGACCAGCGTTACCTTGTTCTTAACAGAAAAGGAAAAAACGAGTCTCGATATCTTTTCTCACTGAAATGCTACTAATCAATGAGAAAAGATGATACTTTAGCGACAGACGTAGTCAACCTTTCAATTGCGAACCGATCCGTCTGTTTTGATTGATTGATTCGTCTACGAATTAGATTCCAAAAAATTGATGAACCAAAGTTGTTCTTTTCCTTTTTTATGCCGATCGAAGGGCCATTTGTGCGGCCATTTGTGACAGGAAAAATTAACGGCGAGCGGGAAACAACCAAATTTCATTGTGTCAAATCTTGTCTATATTAATTTTCTTCAAATGTCCGCAACAAATTCTTCGAATTCAGCGTTATCAAAAGCTGATCTTCAAGTTTTGGTAACAACAAATGATCCATCAGTTTCATATAAACATATTTCAATACGTATAAAACTAATTTTTGGGAACGTCAGCTTTTAGTATCGTTCCCGATTCCCGCGGGAAACGGGACGGAAAAATACGGGAAAAAGTTCCCGCAGGACACTACTTTCCACAGCAAATTGTGGAACTTTCACGAATCACATAGCAAATCAGGCTGATTTTTTTGGGGGCGGTTTAGAGAAACAGCATACATATTCTGATTCCTTTTTGCATGTAGATTTCAAATCTGAGGGTTTTTTTTCTGGTGGAACGTCTAGTTTTTGAAAACGAAGCAAAAACCCGTTTTTACGTTGAAATTACGTATTTTTCTCCTCCGTTTCTCTCTCTCTCTCTTTCCTTCTTTCTGTTCGTTTCACCATTTTCGTGATGAACGGAGAGAATGAGGAAGAAAATATACATCTATATCTTCTACAGTTATTTTCTTCAAACATTGACACAAAAAACAAGTTTCGTAACTATAAGCGAAAACAGATTGCTTTCAAGACAAAGCAAGCATAAATGTCCCTATTGCACTGTTTCGAATATGGGCGAATTTGGAAAACACTCAGCGTTTGATCCGGCCAGGAGTGCTAGAACATTAAATCAACAACACCGTTGCATATATAAACTTGAAGTGTATATATGCATCTGTTTAGATGTATCGTTCTTCAATACATTCATCAACTTATATATGTGATACTTGTACTGAAATTTTTTGTTTGGTATGTCAAGTAAAATGTCATGTTTGTATGACGTGTCAAGCATTTAAGAAATTTATTAATAAAGACAAGGACGAAGAACTGTTAAGGAATAATTTAGATAATTCAAAAAAATACTTTTTCATGAAGTCAGTTTTGTCATTCATTATACTTTTTTTCAAATAAGTGAGTTATTTTAGATTCATTTGTATATAAACGTTGTCCGAATTGTAAAATTTCAATCGACAAATATGCAGGATGTAATTCAGTGAAATGTAAAAAATGTGGTACATCATTTTGTAGTTATAAGAATTTGCAGGTCCACTGCATGATAAGTAGAAGAACTAAACTACAGTAGATATGATCAATTCTACAGTGTAAATACTAGGTTTTCTTTTTACTATAGTTCATCACCATTTCACTCATCTTTATTCAACATGTTATAACAAGCTTTTCAATAGAACTGAGTGGAACTAAAACAAAGAAATAGTGACGGATAGACAACTGTTCACAAAAGAAATGAAAAACAGATGTATCACAGCATCCATTCTAGTAACACAAATATGAAGAACAGTTGGGTAAAGCTCTGTCGCAACGCATGAACATTAGTAGTAGATTTGTTCGATGTTTTCGATTTACGTACAAAGACAAATAATCTCTGTATAATATCTTGGCACAACATTAAAATGTATACTACTCCGTTAGGAAAGTTGCGTTTTGTCATCTTTTCACATGTGTTTTCAGAAATTGTCTCGCATTTTTTGTTCAAAAACTACAGTCGTTTTCTTGAGAGTATCGAAAAATGAGTTTGTACAAAAAATCCAATCTTTTTAATATGTGCCGTACTTGAAATAACTCTTAATGAATTTTCATTATCATACAGAGATTATAGAACAAACATTTTTCTATAAATCTGTCTTTAACAGTTTTGTAGGACATTTGTGTAAGAGTTATGAACTTTTTAATGAAAGCCTCATCCCATACAAAATGCGAAAAAGTCGAATTCTTGTACAAACTCATTTTTCGATACTCTCAAGAAAACGTCTGTAGTTTTTGAACAAAAAATGAGAGACAATTTCTGAAAACACAGGTGAAAAGGTAACATTATGCAGATTTTAAGACACATGCTCCGATTCAAAAAAGCATTTTTCCTAATGGAGTAGTATACGTTTTAATGTTGTGCCAAGACTTATTATACAGAGGTTAATGTTGTTGAAGGCTACCATCGAAAGCTAAATTCGTAAGGATATCCTGAAATCTATACTTTGACTGGAACTTAATCTAGAGAGTGAGCATCAAGACTTTTACATATTTCGAATCATCATAATCAATAAAGTGCTACGGCGCGCAAATCATATCCACATTTATTGAATCCAAATTCTCCACTGTCCGTTTTCACGGTACCTCACACCTGCACCTTGAAACTAAATATTGACATCGCGGTTCTTTTCTTCGTAATATGCACAATATACCTCATTCATAGTCTCAGGATGAGTAAATACAGCAACGTGCGGCAGGAACAAAACTAATCAATTGCCCAGGTAAGAGAGTGTAACTATTATAACTAAATTGAAATTGATACACGTGGGCAACGAACACGTCCCTTTGGCGATATTTAAA